GCAATTCCAGAATGGTATTTTAGAATCTCTATTACCAGCGATTCTTCAATCCTTATTTGCTCTATTTATCAAGGATTTTCCAAGTTATTTTTACTCCTTAAGCAGATATATTTTTTATTTTTTATTGTGTTGTTAATCTCAATTATTTTATTTGCTTTCATCTTTATAATTTTTTTCTATTTTCCTTATTTGTTTGGTTCATTGTTTATCTAATTTTTGGAATCCTATTAACCTGTGCTTTTTTTGCCATTTGGCAGATTACATTGTGAAACTCGCTTCCAAAGTCCGGAACTTGGGCAGAGTCGCGGAGACATTCAATTGATCAAAATAAACTATTATATATTTTGCGGACGAATTGGTATGTTTTCATTTTATATTATTGTAAGTTGGAAGGGGTGTGATTCCCCTACTATATTATGAATTTGCAAGTGTTCGTGATTTGTGATTCTCTTGTATTTGAATGCGAAAGGGGTGTGAATGTGTGATTTTCTTATTTTGAATAATGAATTCTAAAGGAGTGTGATTCCCCTTTTCGTGAATTCTTTGTTATGATTAAGATTGATTTGAATTTATAAAATGGATATGGTCTAAGATTGAATAAATGTGAGTATTTAATTTTGTAGGAATAATATTTCCGAACATCAAGATGGATAAATACTTGATCAAGTTAAACAATGGCCAACCAAGTTCTAGTTCATGTCAACCATCTGCTAATTCACAAATAGTTCCAAAAGTTCAAAGAGAAGCAATTCCTTCCCCTCCTTCAAATGTTAATAGTGTTCTTAGAGTAGGATCTCTTGAAACCGATCCTAAAGAAAGAATACCCATTTCTCAGTATAGTCCTAACATTCGAGATGAAGTGAGAAGATATTTTATTCAAAGAAGGCCTTGTCAACCGATTGATCATGACTTCCCTAAAACTAAGTTTGGGAACAAAATGCGTCAATTCAATCCCGATTGGTTTAAAGGTTCATATTCTCAATGGTTGGAGTATAGCATAAAAGCAGATGCTACATTTTGTTTGTGTTGTTATTTATTCAAGAAGGAACTTGAAAGTCGTGGATATGCCGGGGATGCTTTTACAAAAGATGGCTTTAGGGGTTGGATTAAGGGTTCAGAAAGATATAAAGCACATGTCGGTGAAGTAAATAGTATTCATCATAAATGTTTCATAGAATTAAAGATTTGGCGAATCAACACCAATCAATTCAATCGTCTTTTGACAGACAAAGCGATAAAGTAAAAAGTGATCATCGAATGCACTTAAATGCCTCAATTGATGTAGTGAGGTTTCTCTTAAGAAATGGATTTCCATTTCGTGGTCATAATGAGAGTGAAGATTCCGAATGCAAAGGTGTTTTTCTTGAACTTTTGGAATTTCATGGAGATAAGCATCCGGATGTGGAAAAAGTGATATTACATCATGCTCCAAAAAATGATATAATTATTTGTCCAACCATTCAAAAGGAGATTGTGGATGCGTGTGCTAAAGAAACCACTAAAACTATTATCAAAGATTTAGATAGTGATTATTTTGGGATATTGGTTGATGAATCAAATGACATCTCACATAAGGATCAAATGGCCCTAGTTCTACGATATGTTAACAAAAATGGGGAGGTAATAGGGAGATTTTTGGCCATTGTCCATGTGAAAGATACATATGCATAATCACTGAAGGACGCAATTTCTTCTTTACTTTTGGATAACTCATTAAGTTCATCCAAGATATGTGGACATGGTTATGATGGAGCAAGTAATATGCAAGAAAAAATAAATGGCCTAAAGACTTTAATTTTACAAGATGCTCCATCTGCATATTATATTCATTGCTTTGCTCATCAATTGCAATTGACACTTGTAGCTCTTTCTAAAAAGCATTCAGGTGTGAATAATTTCTTTGATGTTATTACTAATTTGTTGAATACTATTGAATCTGTGTTTATGTTGCACTTGATGTTCAAGATGTTGCTTCTTACAAATGAATTGAATAAAGCTCTACAAAAAAAAGATTAAGATATCGCCAATGCTATGAGGTTACTTGACCTTGCAAAGACAAGATTGCAAACAATGAGAGAAAGTATGTTGGAGTTTTTGACGGAAGAGGTTTACTCATTTTGTGGTAATCATGGTATTTTAATTCCCAAAATGGATGAAAACTATCCAAGGTCGAAGCGTAAGAGGTCAGATGTTTCATATTCACATCACTTTCGTGTGGAAGTATTTTATGCTATTATTGATTTCCAACTTCTAGAGCTCAATTATCGTTTTGATGTAGTGACTTATTCCTTGGTATGGCTAGTTTGAATCCGGTTGATTTATTTGCTAATTTTGATAAAGATAGAATAATAAAGTTAGCCGAGTATTATCCAAGTGAGTTTGGTGATAGGTATCTTCGGGATCTCAGTTACCAACTTGATAGTTTCATTGTCTATGCTCGAAAGCATGATAGTGTATTTTTCAATTTAAAAGGAATTAAAGATCTTGCTATAGTGATGGCCAAAATAAAATTGAATCAAACTTGGTATCTTGTGTATTTACTTGTGAAGCCGGCGTTGATTTTACCTGTTACTACAGCAAGCGTAGAAAGAACATTCTCCTCAATGAAGCTCATAAAGAATGATCTACGTAATAGCATTGGTGATGAATTTTTGAATGGTTGTTTAGTTTACAATATAGAGCGTAAGGTATTTGGAACTGTAAGTAATGATTCTATTATGGATCGCTTTCGAAATATGAAAGCTCGTCGAGTACAAATGTAAATTGATGATGTATTTTTGAGATAATAGAATTAGATAATTTTTTCTAGTCAAGTTGTTGTTTTTGTAAAATTTTATATCATAAAATTGAATGTTTATCTTTGAAGCATGATTGTCTTTGAAGTAATGGTGCACCCATCTTCTCGAATTCTTAGATTCGCCTCTGTATGCTTGGTCTAAAATTTTGTGCAATATGTACCCTTCAAATTGAAGGTAATAAATGCATTCATGGTCCACTAGTAATTTAAGAGTAAAGAATTGAACAAAAGTACACAGAACCTAGGGATCAACATCACGTGAGAAAACACAAGTACACAAAACCAACTATAACTGCGTTCCTCGCCAATCTAGCGCACTAAAAAAAAACCTCTATGAACCACAAAATTTGAAAGTATGTACCTGACTATTTTCGCATATCCCATAAAGCCCCAATGAGCACTCCAACTTTTACTCTACTCTATTTTTATCACCATACCCAACAATCACCAAGAAATGACTTACTGGCTTGCCGGCAAGCCAGAGCCTATGCTCATTCTTGAATAAATAAAAGATTTTGAACTGATAGAAAGATTGAGTAAATAGTTTTAGAACAAAAGATATTGTAAAAAAAAAAATCGTTCCTCGATGAAGTTGAAGGCTATTGAATGCTATAAATATTTTATTATCCATAAATGTGACAACTTTCACACCTATAACAAATATTATTTTAGTAGTTGAAGAACACTTTGACAACACCAAACGACATTTGGATGAAAATTTTCGTGGAGAAACTAACTCACAAATATCTGACACAAATGAACTACAAGGAATACCATTAAGAAGATCTAAAATTGAATAGAATATGGTAAAATCCTAATGGATATGGAGATGACTAATATATAGAGTTTTTAGCTTAATCCAATTCGTCTATCAAAATAATCGGTGTACGGATGAGATTTGTTCTTCACTAAATATTAAGGAGTACTTATATATGGACTTAACTTTATTGGGCCATACATCTAATAAATAAAGGGGAACTTTACATAACTGTCACAGTTTAAAAGAAATATAACAAATTTTAAGCATGAAACTCAATATTACAGTTGTGGCTGAAAAATATTTTTATTTGTAGTACACAGTTTCATTAAAATAGGAATATTAATTATTAATCCCTAAACATAAGCAATTTGAATGAAAAGTCAATAATTCTTTGTACAAAAATCATGCATTTTTCTCTCTTTATCTATTAGCTTTCTTTCTTTTTCTTCATCTTCTTAATTTTGTTTTATGCCGAAGCCAATATATTTTCTAAATTTATTCCATTCGTTTTCTTTTTAATTATCTTTCTTAAGTTTTTCTCTTCCTCCTTTCTTCCTTTCTTAACATAAAGATCTTACTTCGATAATAATATATGTTAATATATACAAAACATATATATATATACAAAATATATATTGAATTAACACATATAAAATATACAAAATATATACATAAAAAATACATCTTCAATTAAGATGACACTTAGACATGTGAAATATACATAAAAAAATATATCTTAAATTTAATTAAGATGACATATAAATATATATAAAAAAAATACATAAAAAATACATTCTGAATTAAAATGGCACTTGACATATAAAATATATTTGAAATATATATTAAAAATACATCTTAAAATAAGATGGTACTAAAAAAGAGAGAAAAAGTTATAAAGATTCTCTCCTTCCTCGTGCTCTCGGCGCACGTTAGTTAACGTACGTCTCCTGTGTTAGCCATGGCGAAAGGGAGAGGCAGAGGGCGTGGTCGACCTAGAAAGCATCAGTTAACTACTCTTGTAAGCTCGGTGGTAACTGAAAATCAACCACCAATGAAGAAAGCAACCCCAGAAGCAACCCCACCTCCATCAGTTCCAATTGCAGATCCAGCAAATGGAGGTGCTGCATGTGAATTTGGATCTACTTCGACTCATCCTGGCATTTCTAAGATACTAGATCTAACTTCTCCAGTGACAATTAGTCATTTAGCAGCCTCTTCAATAGTACCAGTTAATGGAACAATAAAACTGGTAAATCCAGCTCAAAATCAAGTAAACACTCTAGGCTCGTCAGAGAAACCAGTAGTAGAAGAGGCGGTGATAGCAAATGAAGCTGCACCTAAAGCTCCATGGACAACGTTTTTCCAGAAGAATCGATTTGCTACTAATAGTATGTCACTATCCTATATTCCACCATAAATTGTTGATGGCCAGCCTATGGTTCAATTAGACAAATCAGAGGTAAAAGAGGAAGAAAACAAATGGAGGTGTGCGTTGATTGCTTATATCTTAGGGGATGGACCAGGGTATAATGCGATGAAACGGTACATCAATTTGCACTGGTCACATGTTCCTGAGCCTGAATTGTTCTACCATGATGAAGGCTATTATATTATTAGATTTCAAACTATTGCAGATGCTCGAGAAATACTATGTGCTGGTCCTTACTCAATTGCTAATAAGCCTATCATCCTAAAACCATGGACTCCTGACTTTGATTTCACGGAAGAATTTCCTACTTTCATACCATTGTGGGTCAAATTTCCTAAGTTGCCTATGTCATGTTGGGGAGTTGGCTCTCTCAGCAGAATTGCTAGTGTAATTGGGACCCCTGTATTTGCTGATGAGTGCACTACTAAGCAGACTCGAGTATCCTTTGCTCGAATTCTTATTGAAGTTAATGTTATAATAGAATTACCAACTAAAATTGTGGTTATGGATCCTACTGGAAAGAAGTTTCTGCAAGTTGTTACCTATGACTGGAAACCTGCTTATTGTGACAAATGCTTGGTTATGGGACACAAGTGTTCCAACCAGCCACGACCTATGATGCAAAAACCCATCCAGACTAAAAAAACAAGGAGTAACAAGGTGGTCATATAGGAATGGAGAACCAAAGGACCTATACATAATGCACCTGGTCCTCAGAATGTAATCTCATTTGAGGATCAACAGCAAATTGGCAACAAAGTGAAAGTTGTAGATCAAAGAAGAACAATAAAGGCACCTGATCCTAAGGAGATTAATAATCACCATAACATGGTACCTGTAGCTGAGAGGCAGGATGACAAAGGTAAAGCAGTGCAAAGCCCTGAGCTTAATTTCATCAACTTTCCACCTTTGAATCCCATCCCAGTGAGGAATAGGTTTGAAGTTGTATCAACAAGTAGACATGAGGAGCACATTCCACCTGGGGATAGAGGTGGAACTATTATTCAACAATGATGAATTGGTTGTTCTGAAACATAAGGGGTATAAATAAAAGGTATAAACATAAGGAGGTTAGAGAGTATATTAGGGGAAATAAAATCAAGCTAGTAGGTCTTGTAGAAACTAAAGTGAAGGAAGGGAATGCTCAAAGGATCTCAAAAGCTATTGTTCCTGGATGGAGTATACTGACAAACTATAAGGATGCTAGGAATGGAAGGATTTGGTTACTATGGGATACTAGTCACTTCATTATTACTGGTATTAAAGATGATGCTCAAATGATTCACTGTCAGGTAAAAAGTAGAAGAGGTGATATAGATTGTTTACTCACTGTAGTGTATGGATACAATGGGCTGGAACAAAGAAGAGCTCTCTGGGAAAATTTACAACTACTATCACTGAGTATAGCTGTACCATGGTTAATAACTGGAGATTTCAATGTAGTACTATTCCCCAGTGATAGACTATCTTGTAATCCAGTAAGCTACTCAGAAATTCAAGACTTTGTTGCCTGCCTCCAACATACAACACTGACAGAACTACCTTGAAAGGGTAGCTATTATACATGGTCTAATAAGAAGCCTGGAGTAGATAGAGTCAGCAGTAGATTGGACAGAGTTTTTGGCAATTATGAATGGATGATATCTTAGGGTCATATGGAAACAAATTATGGTTTGCCTCAAATTTCAGACCATGCTCCTATGCTATTAACACTGTCATCTTCAACATGGATTGGTAGAGTGCCTTTCTGATTTTTTAACATAAGGGCAACACATGAAGATTTTTCTCAAATAGCAGCTAGCATGTGGAATTCTCATAGTACACAGGGTACTTTAAAATCAGTTTGGACAAGATTGAAAGACCTGAAACCTGCTTTGAAAGCTTTAAACTCTAGGGAATTCAGGGGCATTACTCGGAAAATTGAGAAGGCTAGAATAGATCGGAGGGTTATCCAAGAGCAGATTTTACTGAATTGAAATGATGTTTTATTAGATATGGAGAAGAAAACACTACTCAATCTTGAGAAGTGGTCCTTAATTGAAGAGAGTGTCCTGCGACAGAAAGCTAGAGCAAGATGGATACAACTTGGAGATTCCAATTCTAAGTACTTTACAGTAGTAATGAAGGATAGAACTCAAAGGAAGCAGATTACAGAAATCATAACTCTACTAGGAGACAAGTTGACTGACCCTGAAGCCATCAAAAGAGAGATTGTGGATTTCTATAAAAGACTAATGAGATCAGCTGCCAATTCTTTGCCTGCTATCAACAGATCATACATGAAGAATGGTCCTACACTGTCTCATCAACAAAGAGTTGATCTATGTGCAGAGGTAACTAACCAAGAGATTGTTGAAAGTCTTAAAGCAATTGGTGATGATAAAGCTACAGGTATTGATGGTTTTAATGCAGTTTTCTTCAAAAAGCATGGGACATTATTAACAATTAAATCACAGATGCTATAAAGGAATTCTTCTCAACTGGAAAGATCTATAAGGCAATAAACTGCACCACTGTTACATTAGTTCCTAAAGTGACTAACCCTACCACAGTCAAAGAATATAGACCAATAGCATGTTGTTCAATCCTATACAAAATGATCTCTAAGATCTTGGCTTCTAGATTGCAGAAAGTCATGCCATTCATCATCTATGAAGCTCAAGTAGGTTTCATTCCTGGTAGAAAGATTGCTGACAATGTCATCCTAGCTCATGAACTAGTTAAATCCTATATAGGGTTCAGATATCACCTAGGTGTATGATAAAGATTGATCTCCAAAAAACTTATGACTCAATAGAATGGATCTTCTTACAACATGTGATGGAGGAGATTGGTTTCCCTGACAAGTTTATCAAATGGATAATGGAATGCATCAAGACAGTCAACTATACTATCCTTGTGAATGGAGAAACCACAGAACCTTTCAATGCTGCTAAGGGTCTTCGACAAGGAGATCATATCTCTCCTTTTTTGTTTGCAATAGTGATGGAGTAGTTGAGCAGATCCCTGTATGAGCTTAAGAAGGAGCCTACATTCCAGTATCACCCCAGGTGTAGAAAATTGGACATAACTCATATGAGTTTTGTTGATAATCTCTTGTTGTTTGCCAAAGGTAATCTATCCTCAGTTGTCACATTATACAAATGCTTCTCTCAATTCTCTGAAGCATCAGGTTTGCAGGCTAATTTGGGTAAAAGTTCAGTGTATTTTGGTGGGGTGAAACAAGATGTGAAGGAGCAGATTTTGGCTCACATGGGATTTGAACAAGGATCTTTGCCCTTCAAATACCTAGGCATTCCTATATCTACAAAGAATATAGCTCTCATACAATGGCAACCTTTGATTGAAAAGATCACAGCCAAGATCTCTTCATGGACTGCTAAAAAGCTATCTTATGTTGGTCGTGTGCAGTTGGTTCAATCTGTTGTTTTTTGCATTCAAGCTTACTGGGATCAATTGTTCATCTTGCCTGCTAAGGTATTGAAAATGATAGAGGCACTCTGCAGAAGCTACATCTGGTATAGAACTAACACAATAACCAGGAAGGCATTAGTAGCATGGGAAAAGATATGTACCCCTAAGTCAGCTGGTGGACTTAATCTCACAAACCTTCCTCTGTGGAACAAAGCAGCAATTGCTAAAACATATTGGGACTTAGCTCACAAACAGGACAAACTATGGATAAGGTAGATCAATGCTTACTACATCAAATAGCAGCAGCTACAGCATATGCCAATCCCACATCAAGCAAGTTGGATGGTGAGAAGAATAATTGGATCAAGAGTTACCATGTTGCAGGCACAAAACTTAAGTGATCACAGCAAGAGCATTATCAGACAAATAACCTACAACTGTTAGGAGAATTACCAAGAGTGAGTTGGAAATGTCTAGTCTTTCATAATTCTGCAAGACCAAAGACAGTCTTCACTATGTGGCTGTTACTCCATGGAAGACTACCTACTAAAGATAGGCTAGTCAACTAGGTCTTAAATGTCACCCCTCATTGTGTTATGTGTCAAGGTCAGGTTGAATCAAGGGAGCACTTCTTTGTGCAATGTCCTTATGCTATAGAATTGTGGAAGAAAGACATGAAGTGGATTCAAAGTGTACCAATGATCACCACCTGCTGTGTAACGACCCAGACGGTCATTTTGAATATTACAACCTCGCTTCCCCATTTTCTGCTCAAATTACACTTTACAGTTGTTGTGTGACTTGCTGGGGTAATTGGTTCGGGTCCGGTGAGGTTTTAGAATGAATTGGAACACTTAGTTCCAAGGTTTAAGGCTTAAGTTAAAATAGTGATCGGATGCCGACTTATATATAAATGACCCCGGAATGAAGTTTTGATGATTCCAATAGCTCCGTACGGTAATTTTGGACTTAGGAGTGTGTCCGGAAAATTATTTGGAGGTTCGTAGTGGAATTAGACTTGAAATGCCGAAAGATGAATTTTTGAAAAGTTTGACCGGGGGTTGATTTTTTGATATCGGGGTCGTAATTTGATTCTGGAAATTGAAATAGGTCCGTAATGTGATATGTGACTTGTGTGCAAAATTTGAAGTCATTCCGGATTGATTTGATATGTTTCGGTACAAGATATAGAATTTGAAAGTTTAAAGTTCATAGATTTTGATTTGAGGTGTGATTCATCATTTTGATGTTGTTTGATACGATTTGAGGCCTCGAGTAGGTCCGTGTTATGTTATGAAACTTTTTGGTATCTTCGGACAGGGTCCCGAGAGCCTCGGATGAGTTTTGGATGCTTAACGGATCGAATTCGGATTTGGAGTAGGAGCTGAAGCAGCTGGGCTGCTGGTGTGATCGCACTTGCGCGAAAAAGGGCCGCAGGTGTGAGCTCCCGGATGCGAGGAATTAGTCGCGAAAGCGTAAAATGCATGGGTTGGCCAGGCACCGCGGGTGCGAAAAATTTTGCTGCGGGTGCGAAGGCCGCAAGCGCGAAGAAATTATCGCGGGTGCGAAGACAGCAGGCGCGAAGAAATCATCACGGGTTCGAAGACCGCAGGCGCGAAGAAATCACCGCGGGTGCGAAGACCGCAGGTGCAAAGAAATCACCGCGGATGCGAAAATCCTGGGCAGAATGTTAAAAACAGAGGGGGTTCCGAGGTTTGCCATTTTTGGACCTTCAAGCACGGCTTTTGGGGCGATTTTGAGAGAGAATTCAAGGGAAACTTGAGGTAAGTCACTTGTGATCATTTCTACTCCATAATATTGAATTATCATCGAATAATCCGACTAGATTACATGTTTTTGAGGTGTAAATCGGGGGTTTGAACTTAGGGATTTGAAAATAAAAATTGAAGATTTGGAGGTCGAGTTGAGGTCGGAATTTGATAAAATTAATATGGTTAGACGGTTGAATGGGCTTCCGGATTTTATAACTTTATCGGATTTCGAGATGTGGGCCCCACAGGTTATTTTTGGGGCGTAATTTTGAATTTTTGGAAAATATTAGTATTTTGATATGGAATTAATTCCTTTAATTTTTGTGGGCTGAATCAAATTAATTGTGACTAGATTTGAGCCATTTGGAAGTTGATACGCGCAGAATGGAATTTCTGGGGCATTGCTTAGCTTGCTCGACATTGAATTTTTCTTGTTCGAGGTAAGTAACTCTTCTAATCTTGGAGTTGAGGGTATGAACCCTGAATATATGTATTTTATGAATTGTTGGGAGGTGACGCACAAACTAGGTAATGGGCGTGTGGGCGTGCACTATAGAAATTGTGACATAATTGGTTCTGTGGAATTTTGTAGTTAAATAATCTTGGCATTCTCCATGCGGTTTTATGTGTTAAAGAAATTGAGCTAAAAATCATATTAAAAAAAATTATGTTGAGGCTATGTACCAGTATTTGGGGACCCACGGAGGTCATATTGTTATAGCGTTTGGGCTGAAGGAGCCCCTCTGGAGTCTCAGTCATATTCATTTCATTACATATCATATCTCAGTCTCTGTTGTTATTCATTGATACATCATATCATCATTTTGGGCTATTTTCATGACATTGTGAGCCCGAGAGACTGGAGAGATTGATGACTGAGTGAGGCTGATAGCCTGATTGTGAGGATTATTATGGGATCAGGTTACACGCCGCAGCAGGCCATGTTGGCTTTATATATATTATTACTATTACATGGATCGGAGCTGCCCGCCTGCAACAAGCCTTATTGGCTTATTATGGCACGTGAGTTGTCCATGCGGATTCTGATATGATATTATAACACGTGAGTTGTCCATGCAACACGTGAGTTCTCCGTGCAGATTATAGCGCTTGGGCTGAAGGAGCCCCTCCGGAGTCTGTACACATCCCTAGTGAACGCAGGTACCTACTAGTGTGAGTGCCGAGTGATGAGTGACTGGGAGGCATGAGTGATTATGAGGTGGCCAGGCGCCGCGGGTGCGAAAAATTTGCCGCGGGTGCGAAGCCGCGGGTACGAAAAACTTTGCCGCGGGTGCGAAGAATTTTACCGCATGTGCGAAGCCGCATGTGAAAAGAATTGTACCGCGGGTACGAAGCCGCAG